TTTTTATTTCAAAAGATTGTAAGGATTCACTCTGTGGGTCTTTATCAGTGTACAAAGGTAAATTAAGATATTTGTAAAACAGTTCTGTCCCGTCCGTATATCACCGGACACTATTTCTTATGTTTTGTAAAACGCGAGAATTGTTGCTGCTACCTGTGCGCTTTAAGTACAAATCTATAATTAGCGCGTATCGGTAAACGTACGTATTCATCGTTCTGTTAAGATGGTGTACAATCATTTTGGGACCTAGGAAAGTATTGGATTGATAAGGAAATAGTAGGTCTAACAGATAGGAGAAGTAATTAAAAAAAAAACAACATTAGAGAAGGAAAACTAAAGTATAGTCAACTATGTAATAAGATTAAAAGGGCACCCAGGAAGTCCAAGGAGGAATAGCTGGAAAAGCAGTATAAATAAATTGATGAGCTTTCAAAAGTCATCAAAATAGATTACGCTTACTAAAGATCCGGCTTTTTGTTAGAAAGAAAAAACAAAGTTGCTCACATATAAGAGATGCAAATATCCAATTATTAGTTGATGACATAAACATAGTGAAACGATGGAAAAAATATCTAGAAGAGCTTTACGATGGAGAACAGCTCGAGAATTTGGAAATAATTTAAAAAAAGACGAATTTACCTATTCTAAGATCAAAATTTTACCTAGCACTAAACGATCTGGAACAAAAAAAAGCACCTAGAGTAGACAATATAGTAGCAGAACTACTGAAATGTGCAAACACAAAAATAGGACACGAAAAAAGGTTAATCAATTAACTAGTGATATCTATGGAAAGGAGAGATACCGAATGATTAATGTAAAAGCATAATTGTAGCTATATTAAAAAAAAATGGGAGCAAACTTTTGTAAGCAATTTAAAACTCTAAACCTGTTAACACATTTCTCGAAAATCTTATGCTGCTTCATTTGCCCTCCCCCCTCCCTCCGCCGACACTCCTGGCCGTGCGTGAATTGTTTTAATTTATTCTGTTAATAAATCTTCTTCGACCAGCAACATTACTACGATCTTGCTCAACATCAGGGTTGGTTTCTGGGGTAAACTATTGATTTTTCTCGTCATTTTTTTTTTCTATAATAAAGGAGAAATTATTTATTGTTTCTGATAGTTTCGATGTTGCTTAGTGAATAATAATCAAAGCAATCTAAAACGATCATGCAGAATACGCAGTGCCTCCCACCATCCCACCATGTTCGACGATTTGTCTAAAGCTTAATTAATATTAAATATTTTTCATTTTTTTTTTTTTTTTTTTTTTT